CATTTGCACCAAAATAGTTCCAACTAAAGAACATTATGCTCGATGAAATAAGCCAACCCCCAAAGGACAAAGATCATCTTTTCTCTCTGATATAGGCAACCTTCAGGAAAGTACAAGGACAATAGAAATATAGGTAAGCATGTCTATACATATATTCATCTAGAGGAACTGTATGATGGAGACTATCATACCGAAAAGTGAAGATACACTGCAGTATGCAGCTCTACTCTTGAATAAAAGATGAAATCCTAATGAAACTTTTTAATGTATCTTGACAATAACATGCTGGATTTTCTATCATTGTCTATACCTACAATTTCAGGATACACTTGAATACCAGAATGATGTACTTGTGGCTGTTGTTGAAGAACAAAACCGTTATAAGAATGTAGGGGAAATCAGTGGAAGGGAGAGTGTATGGGGATGGTGGAAGAAGAAACCCCTGAGTCTATGGAAGTGTATCATGAAAAAAAATTAGAATTTAAAAATGTAAAAGAAAAAAAAATCTTGAATGTATAAAAATGGGGTGGTGGTTCTAGTTTTTAAAGATTTGTTTGTTTGTTTATTGAAAAGGCAAATTTACAGAGAAAGATTTTCCATCTATCAGCTCACTTCCCAAATGGCTGCAACAACTGCAGCTAAGCCAATTTGAAGCCAGGCGCTTCTTCCAGATATCCCATGCAGTGTAGGGTCCCAAGGCGTTGGAACATCCTCTGCTGCCTTCCTAGGCTGTAAGCAATGAGCTAGATTAGAAGTGGAGCATCCAGGACATGAAACAGTGCCCCCAGTGGTTGTCAGCACTTGGAGGTGGAGCATTCTCCAGTTGAGCCAACATTTCCATCCTGATAGTGTTCATCTTAATAAAAATGGAATCAAAGCTGGTGTTTGGTAGCAGGTAAATACATTACCTGTGATGTCAGCATTTTTGTGGCTGCCCCACCTCTGATCTAGCTTTCTGCTATTGGGAGACCTGAAAGAAATTCCTGGCTTCTCCCTCCAACCTGGTTCAGCCCTGACTGTTGGCAGCCATCTGGGCAGGGAATGCAAATGGAAGATTTCATTCGCAGCAACATGGGTGGAACTGGAGGATGTGATGTGGAATGAAATGTCAGGCTCAGAGAGAAAAATACCACATGTCTGCATTTAAACTTGGAAACTAAAAGTTGACCCCATAGAAGCAGAAAGTAGAATATTGGTTAGCAGAGCCTGGAAAGGATATGGAGGAAAAGATGAGGAGAGGGTAATTAATAGGTATACAGGTGCAGTTGGTCAGGAAGATAACTTGTTTTTTCTTTAAAAAGTTATTTATCTGAAAAGCAAATGTCTGCTATCTCCCAGAGTTGGAAGCAGAGTCGGGACTTGACTAAGGCAGTCTGATATGGGAGTGGGCATCCTGAGTGGTTACTTAACCGCTGTTTCCAATGTCTGCTCCGGGAGGTGTGACTTCTAACGTTCCATAACATGGTAGGGTAAAAGCAAAAAATAGGCAACAACTAACTGCCTGTTTTAGAACAGCTAGGAGAGAGGATTTGGAATGTCCCAACCCAAAGAAATGATAAATGAGAAGTATAGATAATGTCATCTGATCATGACATAGTACATCCATATATGGAAATGTCACCCTGTACCCTACAAATATGTACAACTGTATGTGCCAATAAGATATATTTCTTTAAGAAAAGCATTCTTGGAGGATTTCTTAAAATATCTTTTTTTAAATCTTAATGGCAGTGTGCTTGAGAGGCATAGTTCTCAGAGGTCACTGTGTATTTGAGTGAGGTTATAGGGCCTTTGCATCAGCGGTGGGAGTAAGGAAACCTAGAAAGCGGGGAGGGTAAAGCACCAAGACAACAATCCATTGCGGACCATCTCCCTGGAGTCAGTCTGGTTTCTGCCAGGCGCGGTGATGTCACTCCCATAGCTCAGGGAAATATGAAGGTAAACGTTCCCGTTCCCCTAACACCAGCCGTCAACAAGGCCTTTCTTACACACCCTCAGAGACCCTTTTGTCTGTTGGCTTTCCCATGTAAGATCATACAGAGTTAAGGGATTAGGCATGGGCATGTAGACTAGCAGTCGATATTGTTAAAGTACCTAGAGACAGAGAGCCAGGTAGCTGGGGACTAGTCTCTGGGGTAAGTCAAAGTCTTCTCTCTGTCCCTCACACTAAGACTTTTTAGAAGATTCTATGTAAGTGTGGCTTATTTGTTGGAAAGGCAGTAAGAGATATCTTTTAACTGCTGGTTTATTCTCCAAATGCCTGCAGTAGCTGGGGCTGAAGTGAACAGGCAGGATCTTCATCTGGATCTCCCATGTGGTAGATGTCAGGAGCCCATAAACTTGGGCCATCACCTGCTGTGTCCCAAGGGCATTGGAAGGAACCTGAATTGGAAGCAGAGAAGCCAGGACCACAACCACCCACTGTGATGTGGTGGGTGGGTGTCCCAAGTAGCAACCCACCGTGCCACCACAAGCACCTCCATGCATAAGACATCATGTCTGTTGCTCCTTCTGCCTGGTACATCAGCCCTCTCCTCTTTTTAATTCTTCACTTTCCTAAACCTTCAGATGGGAGTAATTGCTTCAGCAGTGCTTTCCCTGATCTTTTGGGCCAGATCCACCTCATGACTTGTCTTTTCAGAGTTGAAATTTAACAGGTATGTTGTGTCACCGTCTTCATGATGGCAGGGTCTCTGCCTGCCAGTACCATCAGTTTATTCCAAATACCTAGCAAATTAAAAAAAAAAAAACTCCATGAAGGAATGAATCTTGGCTTCACATTTTACAAGCCAGATGTGTTGATCAGCTCAGGCTGCCTACCAAGATACCACATCACGGGCTGTGGGTCTCTGAGCAAGTGTCCTGGGTCTGCTACACTGAGGAATCTAGTCCCTCTTGCTGCTTTCCTCTAGCTTGGGGTCCTAGCCGTTGGTTTCATAGATTTCAGAACATTGAAGATACTTCTTTACCAGAGTTTCTGGAGTCAAACACAGGTAAGGTATCTGATTGCATGCTTACCTCTGGGAGGATGTGCACCAACGGAAGTTTTGCTAAATCATCTAGTGACAGTGTACTTTTTTAATCCTATGAGTTCTAACTTTATTCACACCAAGGTTTTTCATGTAATGTGTTTTTCCAGTTCAAGGAATAGAAGTTTTATAAAGCATGCCTTGGGAATTATCAATTCAGGCTAAGAGAACTGTGACTGTAAACTACTGTGAGTGGTTTCTGGCACATAGAAAGTGTTCAATAAATATTTGTTGTTGCAACAGTCACAATAAAGAAAAAAAAATGATGATATTTTCAGTAACAGCAGGGAACCGTCTAATCCCCAAAATAACTGTCTTGAGACTTGGAAAGAAATTGTAGCTAGATAAACACTCATGGAAATACTGGCCAGGAAGTTGTTGCTTCTTCTGGCTTTGTTCATTCTTACCTGAAGCAGTGGCTCTTCATGAGGACAGACACTGTCACAAGTCCCTGTTCGCATCACCAGGGAAGTATCCCCTCCCACACCTGCGAGCAGATACAGATCAGGAACCTAATGGCATTCAGTACCCTTCTAGTCCAAGCCTTGTTACGAGAGAATTTCAACTTGTGTTTCCTCTGTCTAAATTTCATGTTGTTATTGAATGCTAAGGTTTGCAGCTGTGACCCCACTGCAGGGTGAAAAGAATCAAATTAGAGGACTCCTGACAAGTGCCTCCTCTTTGGTGCTGGGCGGAGCATACTATTTGTCCTTGGTTGTCAGCTACAGCTGGGCTGCGCCTTGTCCCTAATGTCCTCATCTTCTGACCAGACCAAGGGCCTTTTTGAACCTCATGAAATTACTTAGGGGCAACAAAGCCTTCATGATCAATGGAATTTGCAACAAATAGGCCTTCTCTATAGATCACCACTGCAGCTGGGCATCTCTGCTATGTTTTTGCTCTACGGTGCTAAGAATGGCAACTCTTTGCTTGTCCATCATTATCACAATTAAAGGTTTGAAACCCTAATTATTACTTATTCTTTGGAATTGAGATGGAAGCCTAGAGGCTGACAAGCAAGTTTTTTTGTTTTATTTGTTGTTGTTGTTGTTGTTGCCTGCTTTATGGGCCATGTGTATACTGAGTGTCCACGTACAAGGAAGGGATGTTTCTTGGGCAGTTGCTTATCTTACTAGCATTTGCAAAAGGCAAGTTCCAGGATGTAATAATAGTCTCCTCATTTCCCACATCAGGAAGTGTTAGTATTTCTAGATCCTTTAAGAGGGAAGAGAAAGAACTATGGCCATCCCTCCTGTTCTTCTTAGAAGGGATATAGTGTGGGCCGTGGGAGTCATATTCTGTGAAGACAGTCTGCCCACTGTGGTGTCTTGGTGACAGGGTGATTAAGGATGAAATTGTTGGGTTCCATTGAAGTCACGGTGGATGGAATCCAATGGAAATGAATCCCAATGGCACATATCTGTGAGACCAGATTCATTTGGGATATGGAATGTGTTGTCTTTCTTTAGTCAGGTGTTGGCATGGCTACTGCTTACCAACGACCCGTATTTCATCTTTTATTCACGTGTCTTCCCCACCTTGCTGAGAGACTCCTAGAGAGAAACCATCGGCTCCAGGAGGCCAGTGTTGTATACCTGATTTTCCTTACCTCACTATTCTTAGAGTCTAGCACCAAGTCCAGTATACATGGGACTAAATGAATATTTACGGATGAATGGAGCATCTGCCAAGGGAGTGTCAGTCACCATCAGGTGTCACCCCACCTCCCACCTGGCTGAGTTATCTCTATTTTCTTATCCGCACTCTCATATCACACAGTGTCCTAGGGAAGAAATAAGTTGTTTATGGTGAAGCCTGTGGACAAACCTCAAACTATCCACAGACAGAAGTGCTGTCATCATTTAGAATTTTAAGTAGAGCTGTGAATGCGGGATTGTATGGAGGAAAAGCATTTTAAAACTAGCATTTATATGACTAGTATCTCCACATTTTTTTTTTCCTTCTGTGCAGATCGTCTCCCAGAGAAAGCTGTCCAAATCCTTGCTGAAGCACGGGAACACAGCAGGAAAAGCCTCCATCACGGTAAGCACGGCGGTGCTGCCTGGACGGAGCAGCTGGTTCAGAGCAGATGCCTGGGAAAGCAGACCCTGGCTGTTGGCAACTGATGTCAGCCGTGCCAAGTGATGCAAGACGCTTCTTTATTTTTCTCTCATTTCTTTTTCCTGACAGTATGATTTTGATCTTGATTTTACCGGAGGAATTAGGAAAGAAAAAGATTTGAAAAGAAGAATACTTACTTATACTAAGCATTTCCACAGAAATTGAGAAAGATGGAGTTATTGAGAATAGGAAGAATATGAAATTCTCTGGCACATTAAGATCGTCAAAGCAAAGGCCATCTAAAAAATCTATGTATTAGCAGAATACCATGTGATGTTTTATTGCCCAACATGGTAGTACTAGTATTGTGCAAAGCAACTGGATATCTCTCTTCAAAACTTTTTGTTTTCTTTGCTAATTGAAAAATATATAGTATAGTAACATCATTTCTCGGTGCCCTGTTATTCAATAGAATTCAAGAACTTTTTCCTTCTACATAGCTATAGCTTAGTAAGCCTTAATAAAATTTTCCTCCTCACCCACTTCCTCCATCTTCTGATAAGCACCATGATATTTTTCACTTTTATGGGAAAAGCCAACGGAAGATGCATCTCTACTTCCAGATCAAAGACGGACTCCCAGGGAAACTATTTAATATATCTTGACAATAGAATGTTGGACTCTCTTCAATTGTCCATACCTACAATGTCAGGATATACTTCGATATCAGAAATATGAGCTTATGTCTGTTTTTGAAGGGCCATACTACTGTAACGATATAGGAGAAAGGAGGAGGAGATTAGAACGTAGGAGAAGGGGAAATCCCAGAGCCTATGGAACAGTATCATCAAATAGGAAAAAAAAAATCCAAGGACCATGGGCTCACACTCAAAGCCCACTGACTCCATAGGCCAAGGTATAACATTTGCTATCGGTCTTTCTCAAGAGAACCAAACTTCTTTAAACCATATTGAAACCACTCTTGCTCCACCTGTGCCCCCCAAAAATTCATTTTCTGAATTTTAAATATCTCAATGCTCTTCTTAATTTTGGGTCCTAGGATCCAAGCATTGCTTCCAGTAGCTGCTATTAAGAAATACTTGAAATTATATGGAAAATTTCCTAGGCTCTGCACATGGAGTAGGTTGAAGTTGTCATTCAATGCAGATACCTGAGATTTCCCCATACTAATGATTATTTAGAGCATGCAAACCTAATTCAAATGGAAAAAATTCTCAGCTCAAATAGAATTCATATAAAATTGAATTAATCTCAGTTTGGAAACCAGGTTAATAAAGATGCCATCTGTTTTGGTCCCTGAGTGCCTATGAAATGTTGACATTATTTGTATAAATGACTCAACCTTTTTGTAACTAAGGGACCCCTAGGTTTTTGGCATTTTAACAGAAGATAGATTGACTCAACTGTTTGGGTCCCTCCTACCCATGTGGGAGAGCCAGATGGAAATCATTGTTTCTCTGTTGATTTTATTGTTATTGTTGTTGTTGTTATTGTTGTTCAATTCTGTTGTTCAATTCTCAAAGGACCTCAGAGTCCATTGCTATTCAGTATTGGAAAATGACTTACGTTAATAAAGAACCTCTGTGAGAGTCATACAGCTGTAGGTCTAGAAAGGACAGAGACCAGGCTATTTCCCTAGCCCTTGCTAGTCTGACTCAAAGTAATCAAGAAGTAGTATTGATTTTCCTTGTTTGTAACTTTCTGATAGGAAAAAAAAAAGAACTAACAGTTCTGGTGAAAATATCATCCAAGCTAACATGTCTCTAAAGAGAAATGCTCATCTAAGCTTCTCCCAATCTATTCTGGCTTGAGTCACATCCCTCTTATTCTGATGCTCAGCAGAAATATAACCCAATCATCTACCACTGTAGATTCCAGAAGTTTCTCTTGGGCACCTGGAAATGCTGTACCATGTTCAACAGGATTGAGGAAAGACACCCTACCCAAACCTCTGTGTTTGTGGATTTTCTGACAAGACAAGCTAAGCTTGCTTCTGTGTTCCTGAGGTAAAGGAGTCCACCCTTTCCTATGGCTAATATGCACCTTTTGCCTGTAGGTGATTGCTGAAGAATTGTCTGGCAATGATGACTACGTTGAGCTTGCATTCAATGCACGGAAATTGGATGACAAGGTAAAGTGTTTGACATTAACCTTGTTGGAAGAACTAATAAAGCTAGCCACACAATTTAATCAGATTCCCCCCTGCAGCTGTTTTTCCCTTTCAGCCCACATTATTAAACCTGTCAGAGATTTCAAAGAGGTGTGCAAAGTTAAGGCTTCCCCCAAATTGAGGAGCACTTAATGGGAACGTAGGAATTGGATTAAAATAAGGTGGTTTTATTCCACTAAGACCTCATTTGCTTCCAAGAGCCACAGACCAGATGTGCAAAGGAAAATATGATTGAACTCTGTTGGTAGTGGCACACCAAGGGAAAAGAGAGGATGTGAAAGGGAAGAAAACTGACATTTATTAAGCAAATATACTTGCCAAGCACAGAGTTAAGGGCCTCTCGTGAAGTATCACATTTAGTCATGTGTACAATTCCCATGTAACAGTTCTTATTGCCACTCTTGCAGTTGAGGAAAACAATTCGGAGATGAAGTAACTTGTCCAAGGTCACTGCGACTATTAGTCCAGATCCTCTGCATAGCTACTAAGACAAGGTGAAATATACAAGGGTTTCATTAGGAGTAACAACTGCTAAGGGACTAGACTGGAGTCTGTGGAATGCCATGCAGTGTGAGGAATGCTCAGCCAGGCCCTAAGGGAATCCTGGAGCCAAAGTCAGTAATGGGGGAGTCCGTGTCTCCCTGGAAAAGGTATGTTTTACTCTCCTCCCATAGGTGGGAAGAACCTAGGGGAAGCCTGACCGGGGTATAAATGGAAGAATTAATTTAGGAGCACAGACACAGAGGCCATTGTTCCATCACACTCCTTGTATTTGAAAGTTTATGAGACATGTCCTGGCCACCATACCATAGCAAAACAGAGAATTTGGTCATAGACCAGTCTACTTTCTATATGTAGCTCTGTATGTAGAATTTTTACCCAGTCACGGGCCCTATTTATCTACATAGAAAAAAATGTTCTATTGTCTCCATACCTTAAAAAAGGAGTGGTGACCTTCCCGGCTTTCAGTTATGTCATCCCTCCCTCCAACTGTATTCTAAGTGAAAAGAAATTGCATCAATAAATGTATTCCTGTAGGATCCCGTTTTCCTAGAGTAAAACTAGACAGTTGGCGATTGGAGGATGCAGCTTCACTTCTTCAAGGACAAATAGACATTAGGTTGAAAATGGGAAATGCGTGTCTCAAGCAACTGTTGAACGCTGTATCACTGTATATCTCATTTACTTCTCCCCTGGAGAGAATAGTCAGCCCATTCACACATTTATTGCTTCTTTTCACTTGATTATTTGCTCAAAAAACGAAGATGTTTCTTTCCATTTCACAGATGAGACTAGTGAGGTTCAAATGTTGCCCCAGGTGACAGGCCCAGTAAGCTGTGAATCCTGAATCTACTCTGTATCATTCAGCTATTTTTTTCAAGGCTCAGTACTGTATTTTCAGGATTCCCATCACAGATATGCACTGCTTCCTTTTTTTCTTAATACAAAGTGCTGCTCTCTGCTTATCATTGCCTCTCTCTTAATTTCTTTCTTATGAGTCTAAAAGGGCAGAGCATTGCACGCTGTGGCTTAACTTGCTGTGTCACAATATTGGCCCCCATGCTTTCTTTTCTCTAGTAATAATAATCATAGCAACCAGCATAGCATGAATTTGTAACATGCCCAGCACTGGCTTATCTCCTCTAATTCTGCCACACTGCTGTAAGGCAAAGGTTGTGTTCCTTCCATTAATAGGTGAAAAAACTGAAACTTGGAGAAATTAAATAACTTGCCCAAGATGATCCATATTGTGTATGGTAGATTTGGAATTTAAAATCAGTGCTTGAGCCAGCATTGTGGCTCCGCAAATTAAGCTACCACCTGTGGCACTGCAATCCCATATGGGCACTAGTTGGATTTATAGCTGCTGTAGTTCCTATCCACTTTCCCAATGGAAGATTGACCAATTGCCCAAGTGAATGGAGACTCTCTTTTTCCCTCACTCTCTGTCTCTCTCCCTCCTCCTCCCCTTCCCTTAAATAAATAAATATATGTTTTGTAAAAATGCTGAACCCCCTGCTGGGCTGGACTTACAACTGGTTTAACATGAGAACAAGAGTTGGGGACAAGCCAGCCTGGACAAGGCCGTAGCACTCATTAGCATGCATGAGGCCGAGTCTGGAGCCATGTCAGGCTGAGCTAAGCCACAGTACCCATTTGTGTGCACAAGAGTCAGATGGGATGTAGGCTGGGTTGGACTAGGACACAGCAGAGGCTGTCATATACAAACACCAGGGCTGTAGGTGAACCTGGTGAGACTTATTGGGTGCTGCCCTGACTAGGCCACAGCACCTCCTGGTACGTATGAGGACTGGGTCTGTGGCACACTGGTTGGTTTGGACTGCAGCATGCATTGGTTTGCATGAGATATGGAGCTGGGGTAGAACTGACCAGGCAGCTACAACCACCAGTATGTGTATTGGCTGGTGCAGGTGATGAACTGAAGCTGACCCTGCACTGGCTGGCACACACGAGAATTAAGTCTGAGGTCACCCCAGGTGAGGTTTCTTGGGGAACTCAGACCCTAGCCACAAGGAAAATCACAGAACGTGTGGTTCAACGTTGGAGTTCTTGTATGAGAACTGGCCCTCCTCAGTTGCTAAAGCCTGTGCGCTGGACAGCATATCCAGATGCACATGAGGGACATGATGGCCAGCTCATCTAGGCCAGTAGGGGACCTCAGCTGCCTCGTCAGAGAATGGAGAGCAGAGCAGTTTGGACAAGTCTGGTCAAGCTTTGCAGCGTGTTCCTGCATTTATGGATGCACTAAGGTGAACTTTGTCAACCAACAGACCTTGGAAACATTTTCTCAACCCTGTAGCAAAAAACCAGTAACTTCTCAGAACTACCAAAACCACTCAAATAATAGTCTTAGAATATTCTTCCCCACATTGGGATCTCAAATGACCATCCTCCATCAAGAAGCACTGCCCCCTTCCCCTGCAGACACTGGAGAAAAAAACAAAGCTGAAACATTAGTCCAACTCACCTTCCTCCATACCTAACCCTCTGCACCCTCATCAGAGGTCCACGTGGGACTGCGTCCCTCTCAGCTGTGTAAATAATATTAAAAATAAAGAAAAGAAGCAAAACAAAAGCCAGTATGCTGCTTATTAGATCTGTTCCTGGAACAGAGACACCAGGTCTGATCTTTCTTTGATTTATTGTATTCCCTTGGACAACAATTCCATGCTGACCTTAAAAAAATATTTTAAAAGAATATGAAATAAAACAGAAAAGATATTTCAGTATGCTACCAAGGGATCGGCATTAAGGCACTAAATTGCATACAGAGTATAATTAGAGATACATTTTTAAGAGGTTAATGGAAAATAAAGCTGTATTTGGATTCCAGAAAAAGGCTTACTCAAATCCTGTTGATGATTGTGGAATTACCAATGGGATTATGCATTGTTTCTATTTTTGGTGCTCAGCTTTTTCCTGGTTTAAAATAAAAGTCACAGTAATAAAATTTTAAAATTGTTAATAGGAAGCAAAAAGAAGAAATTGTTCACTAGGATTTTCTCGCTGTGTTCAGGAGTTGCTAAGTGCAATTGGTAAGCATGATGCCTGAGGGCCCTGCACTATAGGTCAGAGGGTGAACTCCGCATCCCTTACAGAAGGAAGAAGGCAGGAACTAGCTATCTTTTACTTATTTTTTATTTATACAAGTACTTTGGAAATTTGTGGAAAGCATATATTCTGAAAAAAAACCTGCTAGATAGGCTGCAACACCCATTGATGTGTACAAGAGCCAAATGGAATGCCAAACAAAGTGGACCAGTCTTCTGCACATACTGGCATGCGCAGGAACTGGAGCTGGGAGCAGGCCTGTTTTGTTGTTGTTGTTTTCCTTGCACAATGTCTACTGTTTCATAGAAAAATTAGCAAATACACAATAAGGCAAATCCAAGTAGCCAAATGTGGAAACAGACACATTGGTGATTTAATAGCAGTTTGTTCCTATTTGTGTGTTTTAGGATTTCTTCAGCAAATCTGACCCATTTCTGGAAATTTTTCGCATGAATGATGATGCGACTCAGCAGCTGGTGCACCGAACTGAGGTAAGCAGGGTTGTGTCCTGCTAAGCCACCTCACCACCTTTCACGATAAATAGGCCTGATTGGAGAAACTCCGTGGATTTCTTGATGTCAGTAGATAATGAACACATATGTGGAGCGTTCACTGTCACCAGAGGGCCACTTACTGATTTTTCTTTTTATCTTCAAATTGTTACTGTAGGAAACCAACTTTTACCCCAATTTTCTCTTATTGACTACCAATACAGATCACCAACAACTTACGAATAATAAAGATATGAACATCAGCTATCAGTAAGTAAGGATAGCTAAGTATAAAGCATTGAGGCAATGTATATACATTATTTTATTTCTCACAGTACTTTGGCATAGCTAGTATGTCCAGCATTTTGCAAATGAAAGTGAACTTTAGGTAGAGCTGCTGGATCTCGTTGTTAGAAAAAGATGGACTTGACATTTGAATTGAGGTGGTTGCTGTTGGAAAGCCAGTCACTTACACAGGGAAACTCAATGCACTGTGCAGATGTCAGTCCTGCTACACAGCAAGCACTCCCCTGGCTCAACAAGCACAGAGCCCATCTGTGTCTCCTCCTGCCCTTCCCCTGCTTTCTCCCTGTAGCCCCAACCTTAACTTCTCACTTCCTTCAGCACTTACCTACCACCACATACCCATTAAACAGCCAACCCAAATCTGTGTTTCATACTTTATTTCACTCCCCAACTAGTGCAAGAGGGATTTCTGTAAGGGTGAGAAGGGTATTGACACAGCCATGAAGAATGACGTCAAGCCCATACAAGTCCGTACTGTACTTATGTGTTCATGTCATGGTTAAAACAAAAGTCGCCTCCGTAACTGTCACAGGAGGATGCTGAGGGTGGAGGGTTCACATGTGCCACACGCAGTCCTGTTCCACTTTGCTGAACTAACAGTAGTAGCTGGCATGGTGAAACTTTACTTTCCATTCTGGAAGTAGATGTGACAGCCATAATCATGGGCGGGCCATTTTTGGATATCATTTGGCACAGAGTTCGTATCTAATAAAATGTGTTGTTAAAAAATGAATAGGCGAATGGAATTGAGCATAAACAACATACCCACAATATGCTGTAAAACTTAACAGTGCAATAAATCAGAGGGTAGCCAGCTTGGAGTCTCGAACATGAGAACTTTTGCATGAAATACATTTCTTTTAAGGAGCCCCTGAAGTAGTGTTCGTTTGTATGTTGCTCAAGTCCTTGAATAAAGACTTTAAGCAGAGAAAAAGGGTGCAGTGATGTAATGGGGTTTCTCCCATTCTCCTTCCCTCCTTTGCACTTGACAGCAACCCCTTTCCCAACATTAACTCTCCTGATAAACCCTCCTATTCTCCATGAATCACTAAAATGCCCCTTTATAGCCTGGTGCTAAAGGGTTCCTGGAGCCCCAAGAAATGTGACTAGAAGTTTTTCAGTGAGCTAAAGAGCTTGACACTGATTTTTCCTCCTGCTTTCTCAGTAGAAAAACAAATGCTAGGCAGCATTCTTCTCTTGGCAGAAACATGCACATACATTCTCTCTCTCGCACACACATTTTCTCTCTCTCTCTCTCTCTCTCTCTCTCTCTCACACACACACACACACACACACGCACACACACACACACACACACACACACAAATTTTAATACCAAGGAAGATATGTAATTGAAATCTTGATCTGATATTGAGTTTTTCAAAACTGTTATAATGAAACGTTCTTACTTCCACACGTTTTCACTAAAGAGTGAAAAACTTAACCCAGTTTTATTTAATCTTCCTTTCCACTGTCACTGTAGTCATCTGTAGAAAATCAGAGCAGAAAATAAGAGACACAGAAGCATTATTTCTGTGTTTTCCTGCATTAAAATAAATGCAATAACATCTAATTAATCCTGTGGATAATTCATAATTATATTAAGGAATCTAGCAGAAGAGGAAATCACTCATAAAGTCTTCAAGTTAGTTGGAGAGAGATTTCTTTTAAAAAAAAGAAACCTGAGACTTCCACTAGGTAAAAACTTCACAGGAAGAAAAATCAATGCGGCAAATTATGTGTGTTCTTTAATGCAGGCATTCTCAGTCTCAAATTTCAGAATCATCTAGGGTCCCACCTCCAGAATGTCTGTCAGTAGGTCTGGAGGAAGCCTAAATGTGAGTGTTTCGAACAAGTTCCCAAGTGACAGGGCTCCTGCTGCTCCAAGGAGCCACAGGTTGGGAACTTTTGTCCCCAAACCTGCAGTCCTGTGCAAGATGCTGAGTAGCTACTTGTACATTCTGAACCAGACTGAATGCCTTAAGCCATAATGATTTCAAGAACACACTTGATGCAGATGAACTCTTAGGAAAAATTTACATCTGCTGATTCCAAAAGAAAGGGGTTTGTACCGTGGGACTAATCGTCCTACAAAACTGGGGGTTCTTGATCAAAGACCAGAGAATAGGCTGACTGTAACCGCAGCTCTTCTGACACGAATGGGATGACAGTCAGTATTCAGATGCTGGACAATAGTTTTGTCATTATCCATGGAACAGCAGCCATGAAGACGACTATCAGAGGTGTGCTTAATGGGCATCTATGAAGGATTTTCTATTTCAACATCTCATGATGGCACGTGTTTCAGAGATCCTCCTTTAGCTCCTTGGCAATGAGTTCTCACACCGTTATTATGTTGAGATGTAGGAATGCTAGTCATTGCCTCCACGCTCACGGTTCCTGTCTCTTTCCCAGGTGGTAATGAACAACTTAAGCCCAGCCTGGAAGTCGTTCAAAGTGTCAGTAAACTCGCTGTGCAGTGGAGATCCAGACCGCCGGCTGAAGGTCAGAAATCGGTGTCCGAGAAATGCAATTTTAAAGTGTATTTGACCCTCCTCCTTCTCTCTGAACACTGGTGAACCATTCAGCCACCTCTCACCTTGTAGCATCTTGAAAGAAACTGATGCCGTTGCTTCTGCTGGAGCCACTGAAGCTCCTGTGGTAGCCAACAACGAATCCTACTTGTGTTATGTCAAGGGACAAACCCCACAACTGCTCAGAAACAAGACTTTGGAACTAAGTTTAGAGTACAATCAATAGTTAAATATTGTCGTATCGGTTAGCGTCTGTTGCGTAATAGTCTATTCCAAGGTCCAGTGCCTTAAAACAACAACCATCTCTTAATCCACTGCATGAATTGGTAAATTGGCTGGGGCTGATTTGGGAGTTCTTAGATGATCTGACTTGCATGCCTTCAGGACTTTGTGTTCGTCTCATCTCATGTGCAAGGTGACTTTGCTTTTGTTGGGTGGCTTGCTAACATCCAGAATGAGTGGGCTGCTTAGGTCATAAGGTTCACATCACCTAGCAGGTTGACTGGCGTCTGTGTACATCATGACCTAAGAACGGGAAGATAGAAGCTGAAAAGTCCTGATACAGACTGCCTTCCTGCACATGGCTTTTACAGGTTCTTGGGGTAAGGAGCACTTTTGGATGGAACAAGTTGCAAAGTATTGTCATTTTTTTTTCAATTGGTACAAAAGTTTTTGATCCTCAAGGGAATGTAGAGAAGGTGGGAATAGGGATGAATTGTGTTGGTTAGGCATCACCAAAGGCAGGCAACCAGCTGAATGACAAAAGTGACTCTGGGAGACGTTCCCTGTGGCTCATATCTGGAACCTCTCTCTATCAGTACCCCTCACATGACTCAGTAACTCCATGGAGACTGGTGCCTAAAACTCAAAAGCCAGTTGATTCATATGCAATGAGAAGCAGGCTCAGCAGTCACATCAGCTTCTCCAGGGCCTTTTCTTTCAGACAAACCACAAGAAACACAGTTGTCAGAAGGTGATTGTGATGGTGTGAAAACACGCAGGGAATCTAGCACCCGCCACAGCCATAGGAGTCATGGTTCATTAGGCAGATTAAAGAGGCGTGATGACCCTTCCCAGCTTCTCACACCCTAAGTTATTGAATGAGTAGTGACAATGTTTGCCTTTGTAGCTACGTTTCCCTAACTCCTTTGGCTGCGCAGACTTTCATCTGTTTGGGTGTAGTTCTTTTGATTTGTCAATGCTAACAAAAATAGGATCTCATCCGTTGGTTAGTCCCAGATTTTTGATAGTGATGAGATGTGTTTTTGCCTAATCCATCTGTGTTGGTCTTGCACTTAAACTCCCAGTGGAACGTTCTTGAGAGAACCATGTCTGATATCTCTTGTAAGAGCCAGGTGATGTCAAGCTTCAACCCCTCCTGGAAGCTTGCTTATGCCAGAATCACTGTTACTCATCATTTGGGCTCTCAAATGGATGCTCCTGTGCGAGACAGCTGAGAGCTCCAGCTTCAGACATGGAGTTCTGACCCCCATACCCTGAGCAGCACCATCCCAATCCCCAAGAGTTAAATGACGCCCTTTGGATCGGCAATATTCTTTATCCACAGGTGGATTTTACTGACAAAAGCAGTGTGTATCTGTAAGCGAATGGAGTAATTCTGGCCTTTTGAGTGTTCTGTGGTTGCAGAGGCACAAATGGGAGTAAAGGAGATGATGGATGGATGGAAGACAGAGACAGAAGGGAGGGAGAGAAAGAGGAGAGTAGGAAGAAACGGGGCAGGCATTTGGCTGAGCAGTTAGGATGTTGGCCGGAATGACACAAGTGTCTGGATACAACACCCATGTCCCACTTCAGGTTCGTGCTTCCCGTAGGAGGCAGCCATGATGGCTCGAGAACTTGGGCCCCTACCTTCCAGGTAGGGGACTAGACTGAATTCCCTGCGTCAGCAGCAGATCATTTGTTCTTTGCAGTGTGTACCTTCGGAGTGGAGCCATGTCTTCTCACTGCATGTCCAGATGATTAGAACAGTAGTGGTTCAGCCAGGACAGTGGCTGTGTCAAGAACTCAAGAACAGGAGGACAGGTGCTATGGCGGTCCATGAGAGTATCTGAAGCTTTCTGAAAGGAAGGATAGTGCACACCAGTGTGTCATCCTTTACTAGGCTACAGTGCCAGGGTTGTATGCACCTGCTTCCAATAAGGAGGTGCAGATTTTTTTCTGAAAAAGAGTAGACTTCCTGTATTGTCCTGTGTATAGTATTTAATATTTTGTTACAACACCTACTGTGTAATTCTCATTTGCCTGCCTCCCCAGAATGAGGTAGCCCCGCGATTCTGCCTGTGTGTGCAAAGTTCTGCCTCACTTCCTCTATACCTGCGTAAACATTAGAAAATATAGTAATTTGTAAAAAAAATCTTTGTCACATAGATTTTTACATATTATCAAACATTTGACAGATCCTTGTCCATTGGCACTTGATTTTCTTTAATTCTTATTTATTCTGGATCCACAAAAAACAGTAAGATTTTTCCTTTTGGGTATATTTATTTATTTTACATTCCTTCTTTAAGGGGTAAAAACAATATTCAAATAACATTTTTTATAAATTTTTGAAACTATTTATTATGGAGATTTTAAACACAGATGAAAATACATAGATGATACAGTGGCCCCATAGCCATCACACAGCTTCAGCAATTACTAACTTATGGCCAATTTTATTTCATTCAATCCCCCAGTTACCTATTTTCCCACACTCTCCCTGCTACTGGATCATTTAGAAGCAAATCACAGACCAGGGCCATTTATTCTCTGGATCCATGACACTTTAGAAATAAATGAAAATGTCTAATTTCTTTGAAACTTAGGAGAAAAAAATGAAATTTTAAGATGGAATAGAATATTTTTTTCTAACATCAGAAAACACTGCGATTTTTTAGGACCATGAAAAATCTGTTTGATGGGAAGGTAGAAAAAGGAAAAGTACTTAGGTCAGTCAAAGACATCAGGTGGTCCAATATCAAACACTGAAACATCTCATCGACATATAACATTCATAAGAAATATAATTAATACATAACGTTTATTCTAGTCCAAAGGTGTTGAAAGCAACGCATTTTCCTTTCACAATACACACGTCTACAAATTTTTGGAAGACCTTCATACTTTACTAGGTGTAACTAATAAATAAGGAATCTTTCTAGAAGCATAACCACATAATTATGTTTATACCTAAGGATATAAACCATACTTCTTTAATACCGTGAAATAATCTGCCCGTATTCCCCTTATTCCTATTTAACTATTCTCTCACTTATTGGCAATTATTTGCTTGTTTTTAAACTTGAATTTAATCAAAATCATGCACTATATTTGATTGAGATGTGTAGTCTCCTTTCATCTCCCTAGGCCTTCTTTCCTCTTCATCCCCCTTTCCACCCTGCACTTTCTTTGATCAGGAAATTAGCGTTTTTTTGTCCTCTGGCATTTCTTGCATTCTGTGTCTCCTATAAACAGACAGTTGGGACTGGATCACATTCAGGGTCTGTTTTTTTGCAAGAATGCCTCTGGTATTATTAAGAATTCATGGATTTTTTGGGGGAGCACTTGAACATTTCAATCTTTTTCAGTTATTATTACTCCTTTGAAATCTTAAATTTTTCTGCATTTGATCAATGAAAACTCCTTCAAGTTGGAGCTTGAATTCTTTGGACATAAACTTGGAAAGATTTAATGATTTCCTTGCTCTCTGAAATTCATCAGTGTGGACATTTTGGGATTCCTTTTTCCCAGAACACAAAAGTTTCTGTGATTCAGAGTCTTGGCTTACGTCTCTTGAAATTAACAGTAAACCTCCAGCTAACAGATCTGTCAGATTCACTTGTTTCATGTTGCTTTCACCTTTCAGGAATTTTTACATTTAATTTTGATATATAATTGTAGAAAATGCTTGCATAATTCTAACATCCAAACTACAAAATGAGGTATTTCAGAAAAGTTTAGCTCGGACTCTTGTCCCTTCCACTGTTCAACCTTTTCCCTTGCCTGCAGACCTGGCTGGCGTTGAACAACCCTGCCATTTCTGTCTTCCTGAAGGTTTTCTTGGTGATTTTGTGTTTTGAGCTACTTGACAGCACCACAACATGCTGAACTATCACCTGGAGTATTTAAATTTTTGAGGAGATTTAGGGTTATATTCATGGTCCAGTTTTATGGAATGATCTTTGATTTCTATGTCAAATTAGAGTTTCTGATTCCCTTATCTAAATCATAGTTTCATGTACTTCCAATTCCACTGAGAGGTTAGAACCATCATAGTCATTTCACAGACAAAGAAACACCCGTGTTGCCAAGTGCCAAGAGCCGTGCTCCTCAGAGGTGTTGTGCTGCCTCTGGTCTATGCTTTTATACTGATGACTCATCCTGCCAAGCATAGCCCTTTACTCTTTCAAAAAGGTTTAATTTGCCATCATTCTAACGTTTTAAGAGATGCAAGGTTCATGTAGGTGTACCTTGTTTTGTAAAGTCTGAAATGCTATCAATTTAATGTACTACTAAGGAAGGAATTCTCAATAAAACTATAATGCAGTGCTGTCTTATTATTACAGGAGCACAGTTCTTTAACAACAAACACAACTCTTATTATTACAGGAGCACAGTCCTTTAACAATAAACACAAATCCAATACTTTCTGTTTAAGCACATCATTGCATTGTAGGTATAGGCAATGGTAGTTAGTCTACTATCCTATTGTCAAAGTATATTTAACATTCTCCTTGAGAGCTTTCCTTTTATTTGGGAGTAGAAATTCATACTGCAATCAATCTTCACTTTCTGGCGTGCTAGTCTCCATTATGGTTCATCTATACATTTTTCTTTTGGGATTGGTTTATTTCAGTGAGCATAATGGTCCCCAGTTGGGATCAGTGGTAGAATTTCATTCTTCTTAATGGCTGAGTAGTATTCCAGGGAGTAGATGTACCAGTTTCTTTATCTATTGCTCCTTTGATGGGCATCTGGGTTGTTTCCATGTCTTTGCTATTGTATATTATTCTGCTGTCAATATAAGGTTGTAACTTACTTTTTCTATACAGACTTTGCATCCTTTGGATACATTCCCAGGAGTGAGATAACTGGGTTATATGATAGATCAATCTTCAGTTGTCTGTGCACAATCCATACTGACTTCTGTAGTGGCTGTACTAGCCTACATTTCCATCAGTGGAGTAGAATACCTTTCTCCTACATCCATGCCAGCAGGCATTGTTAATCTTTACCTGTTTATTTACAGGGTCATTTGTTTTGCTGTTGTTGAGCTTATGAAGCTCTTTGTAAATCCTGGATACTAGTCCCCTGTTGGTTGTGTAGTATGCAGATTTTCTCCCATTCTGTTGCTTGCTTTTTTACTTTCTTAATTGTTTCCTTTGCCGCACAGAAGCTTCTGAGTGTGATGGAATCCCAGTTGTTTATTTTGGCTTAGACTGCCTGTGTTTTTGGTGACTTTTCTAAGAAGTCTTTACAAATGCCAAAGTCTTGTAGAGTGCTTCCCGTGTTTTCCTGTAATAGTTCTGTGGTTTCTGGGTACAGATTTATTTCTTGATTCATTTATAGCTGATTTTTGTATGAGGTGAGGGTCTTGTTTCTTACTTTTGTAAGCTGCTATCCAATTGTCCCAACAGCATTTATTAAAGAGACCAACTTTTCCCTTGGTTATTTCCAGTTCTCCTATCAAAGATGAGTTGTCTGTACATGTGTGGGCTCACTTCTGGGGTTTCTATGCTGTTCCACTGATCTTCTCTGTTTCTGTACAGACCGTTTTTGTGACCACTGCCCTGTAGTATATCCTGAGGTCTGGAACTGCGATTCCCCCAGCTTGATTTGTATCCTTCAGAACAGTTTTGGCTATTCATGGTCTCTTGTGTTTCCAGGTGAATTTTTGTATAATGTTTTGTATTTGTGAAAAGAATGTTGTTGGGTTTTTTGATTAAGATTGAGTTGAATCTGCCTATTACTTTTGATACTTTCTATACAAATGCACAGTCTTTGCTTCAGACTGTCTGAGGCAGACTGACACACTGTTGCCAAATGGATTTGACTCCTCAAGCATGTTCTTCGCCTTTATTCCCTCCCTGTGCAGCTCTTGATGCCTGTGTCCCCACCTGCGTGTCCACTAACGTGTTTCCGATCCTTCAGGCTTAGGTGCCATGTGTTTTACTTTGCTTTGCTTCTTGATTTTGGCTGTTGGTTTTGTTTGTTTGTTCTTCTGCTTCTCCGTGCTGATTTGCTCTAACAAAGCTTTGGTTTCCAAGCCTTAAAAACAGCACTAGATCAGCTCTATAATTTCTCCAAACTCATAAAAGATGCTTAAATCATTAGTTACCACATGGGTTACATCAACATTTCCTGAATTCTTGTACAAAGCACAGACAGTTGGAATTGAATAACCTGTTATTTAGCTAGAAATTCCTGTAATAATGAATTTGATGTCCTCAGGCAGTTGGAAACAATTTCACTTCCCTTTATGCCTGCTTTATAATTCTAAGGAGCCAAGAAACCCTTGGTCCTCTTAGGTCTTCTGGAGATTTCTATGATTCAAATGCTTCCTTTACTGCCTGCTGGTTTTGTGCTAAATATCCCAGAACTTACCTCAGAATTGCAGACTCACTGAGATACCTCTAAATTGCATCTGCAGTGCAAAACTTCTGGACTCTGCGTATGTTCCTGAGCCCAGGAGGATGCCTCTACAGGGACTTGTAATCAATATTGCAGCACAGAAAAGCAGTGCCAATTGAACTAGTGTTAAATCGTACAGGAATCAAGGAAGTTTCTGAGTTAAGAGAAAAACCACACATTTTCTTAATGTGAACTGTTTTTCCTTTTCTATTAGTGCTGTTCCTTTATTTTGCAGATGAGGAATTCAAGCCTCTGTATTTTACTAATTTGCTTTAAATGACAAACTAAGTTTAGCATTGCCGTAGTTTGTACCTGGTCTCTCATGCTCCATGGTTCTTGATCTTAACTATTTAAAGACAACAAATAGTCACTAAACACTCACTAAGCATCAATACTGTCCTGGAAACTTTACCTGAATTTTATTATTGAATTCTATAATGAGCCTAAATTAAACAATGCTTCAGTAGCAAAGAGCCACCTTGGGATAGATTATTACTGCTTACTCCTACCACAAAGAGAAAACTTCAGATCAATGCCTTCTCCTTCTTGAAGTGACTCAAGGACCCTGATTGCTTCTACATGGTGACTCATCCATACACAAGAGCTTCAGTTTTATTTTCACCCAAGGGGTAGAAGAGGAAGCATTATGGAGAAGGCCCTCTCCAAAAATTGTCATCGCAAACAATATTTGTTGTTGCTGCTGATAATCCAATATAGAGTACTCAGTTGCATAACCACAAGGGAAACTGAGAGGTGTGTATAGTTGGGTGCTAACAAAAAGAAGAGAATTGGATATCTGGTGGCGAGCTCGCTGACATTTCCCTAGGTCGTGCTCCTCCTGTCCCAGCTCAGAGAGGTGAAATAACATGCGAGGTGCATAACCCAGTTAAGACTGACTCTCTGTAGAACTTGATCTGCAAACGTGTTGTTATAACAGGAATATTTCATATCTGTGCTGTCAGAAGAGTATTCATTCCCATATGTGCCAGAGCAGTCCCCTTCCAACCTCTCCTTTCTTTCTCTTGATGCTGGTTTTCTATTTTTACTCCTTCATTGTGGGTATCCCATAGCATTTTATCCAAATAATTCCATCTTCTCTATCTACCAAGAAGAAAATTGTACCCTCTGTGTGGCCAACCTCCGCTGCCACTGAGCCCTCCTCTGCCCAGTGTTGAATGACCCTAAAGAAGCTCGAGGGCATCAACAGCTTTTTCAATGTCAAGATACTTTTTCATCAGTGATAAGGTTTGATTTCCGCACTATCAAAAAATGAGCAGACTTTGCAAAGTAAGTGCTATTTTGTTTGTTCCAGAAAATTAGGCAAGCTCATCTTAAAAAAAAAAAATCTTGGGAATTAGTGCAGTTTTTGTGGGAAAGATGAAAACATCTTGGAGATGGATCATCATAATTATTGCACAACAATGTGAAAATGCACACGGAGCTTTACATTTTAAAACCTCTGATAAACTTTGTGTTATCTATATTATAATAAGAAACTAAATTAAGAAAAATCTTCTTATAAACGTGACCACCTGACATTCAGGGACCTCTCATTGCCACCTAGTCGTGGCTTTCCTCTTTCAGATGGCTCTTCATCTCCTAGCAGCCCGGCTTGAGAGTATTGGTGCTCCATTCCAGTTCACGGGTCTCTGCCTTTTGGAAACTTTTCTGTGAGAGGGGAACGGTCTTTCTGGCCCAACTGTTAGGAGCTGAGAGGACAAAACAGTTGGCATCGCCTGACCAAAACATTGTGTTGAAAACACTGTCCATGGCCATGCTCTACTTCGGCTAGTTTAAAAAAAAATGCTTTTGAAGCAATTACCTGTAGAAAATACTTGGCAATTATGAACTCAGAGCACTGAATGAGTGCTAATCAGTACCCTGGTGAGCTCTCTTTTCTTTTGAATGTGCACGTCCCCACTAGATAGAATATCCACATAAGCAAATTATAATCATTGTGAGCTAGAGCAGTTTCCTTACATTATTTCACCTCTGAATCGCCCAACACTGCAATGAAGATGGACAACGAACCAGGCTCTGAAGATGCTGAAGGATGCTTAAGGATGAAGGAAAGCAGTGCTCCCCATTGCAGTTTTGTGGAATGACTGCAACAGACAGAAGTCAAGCCATGACATGTAATGCTGGCTTTGCTGATTGCTGTTATTTGGATTTACTTATTTACACCTCATTTTGTTACACCATGTTGTTAACCCTGAAACTGAAAAAAAAGTATCTCACAATCTCAATTTTTTGGTTTATCTCTGCCCATTTGGAATGTAATTAGAATCTAGGCTTGTCAACAGGAAGACATCCCAAGACACCTTTGCAGTGACTCAACTTCTGTAGGGCATTCAGGCTCTCTCCCACGTTTTTCAACAGTTAGTAGAAATATTGTTTGAGAAAGTAAAGAGCATCACCTGCTGCCATCCTGAATGTTTTTCCTGGAATTTATTTATGGTAGAATCATCAAATAAAACTTGAAGAAAGCTGCTCTTGGGATGAGCGTTGATCTTTTTTTGAGAGTCCTTGAAGTCAGGCGAAATGGCCTTTTGGACGTCTGCTGGGGTAAGCCTATTGGCCTCCTTCTCAGGAGGTAGAAGAGGCATTAGTATCCACTTGTGAGATCTTCACCTCGTGCAAGATGCTTGAACTTCCAAAAACAGCTGAAGAAAGTCACAATTTGCCCATGTGCAGCCCACAAGACTAATACCCAGGGAGAACAGGTCAATCCACCTCATAACAAGTGAAGTCTTTGCTCTGTGAGGACACCCTCTTCTTTCTTAGGACCTTGAACTCATTACAAAGGAGCACAAATGCATTTGGACTAGCTCGAGCAGAAGAACGTTGGTGATCACCACCCTGGCTGTGCCGTGCGGAGGGCTGCACATGCTGGGCAGCTCCCACCGGGATTCTCCTCCACCCCATCTGGTCCCCAACTTTGTCCATGCACCCAAACCAAAAGAGACCTGAAAACCTGACTCGTGGAGAAGACAGATGACTAAGTCAGGATTTAATAACAATATTAACAAATTAATTTGACAAAAACTGTACTTCCTGTGCTTCATATAAGAAACATTTTCCCTGATATTTAAGCACTGATGAAGAAGAACTGGCAACCAAAATGTCACTTGGTGAGAAGGGAAAGATCAAGACCAGGGTGTATGTGAAATCGGGCAAGAGTCTACTTTGGTCAGCTGTTCTGCTTCAACGACCAGGGACCTGCAGAGTCTCGTTAAGTTGACAAAGTACCTACTCTTTTTTTTTTTCTTCTTTTCATTTTTTTATTTTATTTTTGACAGTCTCTACATAGTTAATTAGGGCACAAAAGTTCAAGAGCTACAGGAAAGTGGGCCAAGTCTATCATTTCCACATTTTTTTCCTATATTTGGGGTGAAGGGGGAGGTAAAGGGAGAAGCCCCACCCAGTCTCCCACCCACTCTAGGTCCCCAATGTGGCGCATGCTCCGAGGGTCTTGCTCAGCTGGTTTTGATAGTACAGCAATTATGAATTGCTGCCAGTGTCGCCATTCCAAGCACAATGGGGTCGCTGAGGATTCCTCTGATTGACAGTTAAACCTACATCTAGCATGTTGTTGTTGATTGCTCCCACTCCCTAGCATGCTTGATTGCACTGGCTTTAAATCTCCCTGGGACTGAGTGAAACCACTAAAGGGACTTGTCAGAGAGTGTCACCTTCAGCTCATCTCCCCTGGAGACCAGCAGACCCTCTGCTCAAGCTCTCACACCATTCACTCACCCAAGCCAGCTCCACTGCTGAAACTGACTCTTGAATGAGTATAACTGACTCTTGAACGGTGCTGGCCCACCATTCAGCCCTGGAGAATCGTTGATCTAGAAACAGTAGTCACATTGCTCAGCACAGGTTTCACCCACCTCCACCGTAGAATCAGTCTGCAGCCACTGTTTCTTTCCACACCTAGCTTTTATCTGCCCACTTCTCTCTAATCTGCTGTGTTACTCAAAGACTCTTCCTTCCCCCAGCTCATCATTGACACAAATACTCCAAAGCCAGGAGAAAGCCAATCAGGCATCCTCCCTCAGAGTTTCTGAAGTGGGGAGCTGGCTGGTGTATTGTGGGTTGTTTAGCAGCATTCTTGTACCTTGTAAGACATTTAGCGAGCCACTACGCATTAACTGTGAGTGGTATTCCCAAGTTGCTACACCCCAGAATGTCTCCAGACACTATCAGATGCACCCTAGGGGACAAAATCGCTTCTGCTTGAAAACCACTATGTTTCATTTCTTCTTTTTTTGAGAATTCAGGATGAAATTATTAGAATCCTTCCATTTTGTCCAGTTTACAGAATTCAAAATTATGGCCATCAAAATACCATTGTGTTGTGTCTGAAACTAATCCGTGGTTGGCAGGAAGCAGTGCTGCTTCTGGGAGAGTCTGAGCAATAGTTAACATTAGGTGAGACTGTCATCCTTAAGAAGGGAAGGAAAGATGCTGTGTGCATGCCCGGTTGGATGGCAGAACCAAAAGGATGACTTTTAGCTTTGGATGTATAGTAGAATCATCTTTGGAATTCCCACAATGTATTGATTTTGGAGCTGGCTTTGTGGTGCAGTGATTTCAGCTGGAACTGACAACACTGGCATCATTTCAGAGTGCTGATGCTGCTCTGCCTGTGATCCAGCTCCCTGCTCGTGTGCCTGAGAAGGCAGCAGCTGATAGGTCAAGTATCCTGCCATTCAATGGCATGATGGAGTCTCAGGCTCCTAGCTTCGCCCTGGAGAAAGAGAGATGTGTAATTTGTATATTATATATTAACTTCCTATTAATATCACGTTATATTAAATAGCAGAATGATGGACTTAATGACTGTTGTTTGAAGAACTGTACTATTGTAATAATAGAGGGGAAATCAGTGGAGGGGAGAAAATTTGGGGAGCGGGAAGTAGAAAGTCCAGAGCCTACGGAACTGTATCATAAAATCATAAAGCTATTTATTTTTAGAGTTGTTTTAATTCTAACCTAACACTGTTACATTGGCAACAAGAAAAAAAAACGCTTGTTTAAAATTCTCACACTCATTTTTAGTATCTGCCAGTTTGTTATATTCACTTACACCTTTTTAATTCCTACTTGAAAAATCAAAACTGAAATTATTTTAAACACCCAAAGGAATTTCCTGGTACTGAGCAAAGATATTCTATTTTTGTTTAGCGACATTGTGCGAAGTTAGGGAACAGACTGTGGGTCAGTTTGGCTCATCGCCTCTTAAATTACAGTGTCTGTTTAGGCGAACAGCAACTAGAAGATAGAGCAGGTAATTCCTGACGCGAATTCAGGCAGACAGGGGAGACTGCTATCCTCCTATATTTTAACTTATTCTCTAAGACAATCTACCCTGCACCATATTTCTGCGTCGTTCACTCTGTCGTCACAGCGATGCTGTATTTGGCACTGCGGTTGCAGCATCTCACACCCATGCAAAACGTGAGGCCAAGGAGATCAGCAGCTCTCCTCTCCCACTGGGTTTAGAGTTAACAACACTCATTGTGCAGGAAGGAAGATGCCATAAAGGAAGCCTGCAGGAGTTCTGAATCCCAGCACGAGCTATGGACAACAGCACTGGGACTGGAAGCCTAGGACTTCCTAAAACTGTGTGGTAGAGTGTCTGGAATGAATCCAGATACCTCATCTTCCCACTTGGAAACCTGAAAACCAGAGAGGAGAAATGACTTGCCCTAGATGACATGGCTCATTAGAGGCCTAATCAGTACTCGAATCTGAACTAACAGAGGGCCCAAGTGATGAATCAATCAGAAAACTCAAGGTGACTACCAGAGAACTAGCAGCCAATTGATCGAAGAAAAAGTCAGTTGGGACTCTGGATCAGTGGTCCCTGGAATGTCTCAGGAGGCAAGCTGCATGTGTCAGGAGCACCAGCTTTGAAGTCTTTGTCGCTGTACCAGATGACCCTCACTTATCTCCTTGAACAGCCTCGCCAGGGGTTCAAGCATTGCCAAGCCGCATGCACTGTTCTCAACCAGATTGGAGTCTCATGATTGCTGGGGTGCCTCCCCTAAGAAGGAGCACAGCTGGGTTAGGCAGAGAAGGAAGACTGAGACATCAAGACACCTTGCCAGTTTCTAGCCACTGTCATCCTTCCCAACAATCCTTGAGGGTAGATATTGTCATTGTCATTTTATTTAGAAAATATCCAGATAAGCAAACAACAAGTTAGAGTTAAGAATCAATTCTGGGCCTCCCGACTCCAGACAGTATGCTTTCGCACCACAAACCCATTCTCCTCAACGAGCTTCCCACTAATCTGACCACATGCCTCTATCTTTTTATCCAAGGTCTATTTTCTGGACATTAGATGGAACCGTGGGAAAGAAGAGGCGTGGCAGTGCGGGTGATGGTGAAGAGTAGGCAAGGTGGGGGAGTCTGATATGATTATCAGATTCACTTCCTCCCACCTATTTCCTGCCCTCTTCTCCTCCAGCAGGTGTGGAGTTCTTGGAGCATTCCTGGTGACTGGTTTGAGATGGATGCCAGTGTTGGTTTGGCTGTGACTGTCCTTGGTGGAACTCTGTGTGCGTGTGCCTAGCTCCATGATGTCTACTACCTTGTTGGTACAGGAGAGGGTTTGTGAGGCCGTTTCCTGAGGACAAATTCGACCTTCTGAAATTTTCTGTTGTGTTTATCTGTAGAAAAGTTTCCCATGATTCACAGGACGGATTATTTCAGTGAAAGTTGTACCCCTCCCCATCCTAAAAACAAAAATCCATTTCCCTGTGGATTCACTTTACCAAGAGAAATATGTTACTGTGTAACATATCTGCCCTGCTTTTTAAATCTTGGGGCATCTCCATTTTAAAAGAACTGTAATGGGAACCCTTCAGAGACCTAGACTGAAACACAATGATTGAGTTCCTCTTCCTTCGCTTCTATTTGTTTATTGCTTCTCATCTCTTTATTCCCCAAGAACTTGTGCCCTGAGTGAATCATAGAGAGATTTGAACTACTCCCTGCACAGAGTAACCCTCACGTTAGACACTGAATTCCCTGCAAGCTTCCTGAGCCTCTCTTTAAAGTCTAGGAGCACGGTCTCCTCACAGTTCTGAAGTTCCTCTGTGTGACTCTGGGTAAGCAGCCTTCCTGTGCGTAAACTACATTGTCCACAAAACAAAGATAGCACCTGCTCCTACCAGCTTCGCTGTGAGAGTCAATAAAAAAGGTTTTCAGTCAATAAAAAGTCTAAAAAACACTTTTGATTTCTCAGAAGGGTATATTATTAAAGAAATGCTTTCTTAGCTGTTGGGGCCACATAGGGCAGTGAGAGGCATGCCACGAAGACCTTGGATGCTGAGATTTCAAAGAGTGAGAAATCAACTCTGGTTCCATACAAAAGCTGTGTATTAGAAACCTCGGATCTTTTTTAAATGGCTAGGACTCTATCCATTTAAAGGTAAGGTTCTTTACTAGATTATCATAATAGAGTGGGCATAGAACATCCTGCAGAATTGTTTCTAGGATTTAAAGAAGAAATGCAAGAAACACACCCAGTACATCCAAAGGCTCAAACACATGTACTAAGTCCCTTTCCTTAGATGTTAGGATAGAGTCATCATGCAAATGCTTCATTGACCAGACACCCACATGGTGTCAGACACGGGCGTTCTCAGTAGGGCCATTCCTGTGATGAGTGGCAGGGTTTCCAAGAAGAGGACAAGAGGTTCTCCTAAAACAGCTTCAATTTTCTATTCTCCCTCCTTCAGGCAGCCAGAGCTCAATGTTGCCAGTCCCTCTCTTGACAGTGGGCACCAAGAGCCGGCTCATCAGAGGTCTTTTCGGTGACACATCACTTGTACTCTCTTGTTGTGTTCATCCTTCTCTGAGAACTGTTGAGCCGTGGTTGAATTCTTGAAAGCTGGGCATAATCGCTGTTTCTTTGCTTTTGCTGATTAGTGGAAGGCAGCCAGACTTTAGATCGTACGCAGCCCATTTTACACTCACTGATGTTGTCCAGAGTCCACTGCATTCTTTGGCCTCTCCAAGTTCTGAAGGCCAGAGGTGGCACTGACTTGCCGGAGGCATGAGCCAAGGGCTGTGGTCTCCCAGCTTCTAGTGCTGGCAGGACTCTGCTCTCTGAATGGATGGTCTTTTCCACCATAACCATAAATGTGATGCACACCTAAAAACCAGACACAGAAAACTACCTAAGAAAATACCTATCAGCAAGTATGGAAGGGATTTTTATTTATTTTTCATTTTAAAATTTAATAGTTTTATCATTTTGCAATGCTCACCTCAATGTAGATGTTATATTCACATATATATACTATTTTTCTTGACAACAGACGTTAATTTCACAAAGTGAAGGATTCACTGTTGCCCTAATGTGAAGAAAGAGGGTATATTGTCACGTACATGTTATATGAGTGAAGCAATATTTATAACCAAGTAACAGATGATATGACTCTGCCTAGTTTTAGAGAAAATATATGATATTTTTTCTATCTGGGTCAGGCCAAGAGAACGGATTTTTTAGTGTCCCCCATTTTTATCATCAGGTGATTTCAGCTTATAAAATAGTGACATGGTCCCGGGGAATAGTCTGTAGAAACAAAGCCAGAGGCTCATGAAGCCTTCTGTGAATTTGCCCAGAACATTGCTCCAGTTCTATCTTCTCATCCTTTAAACTCCTTTCCTAAGTTACAAGGAATTGTCAGAGTCAAGAACAACAGCATTGAAGGATTTAATTATATTTACCTAATCTAAGCTATTCACTGGAGAATGGAGATAAGAAAATAATGACTATGAAATTAGAGAATATTATTGGCCACTTCACTAGAGACACGGGTCTAACTGTCCTTAGAATTATTGTATTAGCTGAAGTTCCTGCAAAATTAGATTGTAATAAATGAGTTTGATGACTTACTTTCCTCGTTGATTCTGATAACTGTACCAAACTGCCTATGGTACATATCATGTTCCTGGCCTATTCTTGCCTGTCTTTTCAAGCTATTGGCTGTCAGCTGATGTCTGGTCAAGTCTGTAGACATTGAAATGATGAACACTTTAGGACAAGATTTATGATACATTTCCTGATGTAAAAATCTCAAAGTTGTGTGTGTGTGAGGGAGAGAGAGAAGTAATCTACAAGTAATCTAATTTACTCTCAAACAAACTCAAGCTACCATTCTTTCTAGTGCAGTATAACCAGTGAAATTGCCTTTTTAAAAGGAGGTTCACTGTGCTCTGTCAGACAAAAATTGGGATAAAGAATCCTCAGATGTTGAAGCCAGGCACAGACCACAATCAGGGCTAGTACAAATACACAGGAAACATGCCCTGTGGCCCTGAGAGGCCCGAGACACCGTCCTCAGCTGATTTCATTAGGAAAGAGCAGGTTGGAATGTGGCGCACAGCTACATGCCATTTCTTGGCATCATTTCTCGGAGACATTTATGCTGATTTCGTAAGGATAAGTTTACATATTAGAAGGGTCAGTAGAGAAGGTTTCTTAAACCTGGCCAAGAGGTCTCTAACCCTCAGAGACACCAGCCAGAAGGTACCTGAGTTGGCAGCACCAACAGAGATCATGCCAAGGAAGTAGAGCTTCTCAGTCCAGTGGCGGTTCTACGCCAGTGTGTTCATCGCCATTGCCTTTAATCTTGGTTGTTAATTTGGTCCCATGCTGGATTTCCTGAGCATTGTACTTAGCCACAGGCACCTTCCTGTTCCACATGAAAGTTAACAGGCAGAACAGAGAAAAAGCAAACACAACCGCTTAATCAGCTGTATCCATTTCCTGTTACAGCTGTGACAAATTACCACTCAGTTGGTGACTTGGAAAATCCAACTTTATTATCTGGTAGTCAAAATCCAAAATTAGTCTCCCTAAGCTAAAATAAATGTTCAGAAGATTCTAAGGGAGAACCGATTTCCTTATCTTTTCCGGCCTCTGAAGTC